AAGAGGAGCTGACCGTCAGAACTAAATATTGGTTAATTTCGGGACAATCGATCAAATATTCACTGTAGTAAGACTAATACTAAGTTGTGGCAGACATTCCATTCATTATTCATCAGCCCGCACTACGTCCGAGGAGCGAGACTGTTTCCTTCCAGATATATCCCTCCAGCGAGACGGTTCGAGCGCCGCGAGGCCGTGCTGTTTGAGCCCCCTCCCTCCCCCCCTTTTCTCCCCGTTTCTTCGATGGCAGAATGCATTCCCCATGCTCTCTTGTATTTCCTCCCCGTCGTTTTCCCCTCATGCTGCCATATCAAAGGCTTTTCCGCGCGTCTGCGGAAAACCCAGGAAAAGCCTTCCGTTGCAGCCCTAATCAGCTCCGCTCGTATTAATTAGCTCCGCCGGGTCTCTCCTCGGCCGGCCCGGCCTCGGCCTCGGGCCCGGCGAGCCCAGCGGTCAGTTTGATCCTCCGGGCCGGGGCGGGCGGTGAGAGCCGAAGGGAGAGAGAAAGGTTATTTTTACGGAGCCCTCTTTTCCGGGGCGCCGGCCGACCGCGGCCGCGTTCGCCAGCGCCCAGCACCGCCAAAGGGTATCACCTTTCTGCCCGGCCGCGGCACAAGGATGGCAAAGAAGCGCTCTCGCCGGACCCTCCTGCTGAATAAAGGCGGCATGCAGGCATTTTGAGCCCCTCTCAGGCACCCTCCTGCCCCTGCCGCCACCCTTTGAGAGCGCTGATCTGTGAGAGGCCGCGGGGGCGGCGCGGGGGCGGCGCGGGGGCGGCCGGGCTCGAGGGGCGAGGCAGCCGGCTCCATTCACGCGCGATTGAAGAGTGAGCGAGACAGACACCTGATGCTCCGCGCGGATAAAAGGTCCGACATAATGGAGTGGAGTCGTTAATTATCCGGTATGTAGCGTCTGCTGCACCCGGGAGGAATGGAATTACAAAACTAAAACCTATCAAAGCATGAGTGGGGCGATGGCGTATTTCGTCTGCGTTATGGCTTGGCTTTGTTGTTATTCACTTTTAAGTCAATAATACGAATGCCTGCTGCTGTGCTTGTTCTCCCGAGCTTCAGCCCAGGCCTAGGCCTTGTTTGTTAATTGGCTGCTGTTTGCAACAACCTGCTCTCACCCCACCGCCCCCTCTCCCTACAACACACGAGCGGTGGCGCCATTCCAAACACTTAGCAGCCGCCCAATCTACTTGCACAGTCAAATGGCGTCACGC